GTGGAAAAAGGAGGAGGAGGAGGAGAGGGAGAGAGAACAGACAGAGCGAGAGACGGAGGGTGACAGACAAAAGAAAGAGAAGCCACATGAAATGCAGCCCACTCAGAGCCTAATAATCCGCATTAAGCAGACGCCTAATGGCTTTCGCAGGTCTCGCTGTGAAGAACATCTATTCCTATCACAATGCTGCCTCCGCACCTCGCGGTGACAGGGACCTGCCTGGCTGGGTTAGAGAGGCACGGGGCGGCGGGGGGAGACAGCAGGAGCTCACACAGGCCTTTAACCGCAGTCCTGCTGCCGTTTTTGGGGGGTAAGCCTGAGCACGCACATACCAACGCGCTCCAGTGACCCCTGGGCGGGGAGAAACCCCGGGCCGGCAGCTCTCTGGGGTTCGGATTCTGAGCTGCTCTCTCGGATCACGGGTCAGAAGCTAATTCTGCTGCCCCCTCCCTGCCCTGGCAAAGGGAAGGTGTCGGCCTCCGAGTGGGGGAAGAAGAGAGCAGGGGGGGTTTTCCTAAGGCGCAAAACGGTGATGGTTACTCGCTAGGCACAGGACAGAGCTGTCAGGTGCGTCAGGTTACCTGAAGAGATGCCGATGGGCTACTTTTCACTTCCAAGACTGCCAAGTGCTAACCCCCCTCCCCACTGCGCTGGCTGAATAAATGCCCTGTGTTTCTGTACAGGCTGAATTTCCTCAGCTCTGTTTTGAGAAATGTGTGAAACAGGATGCATAAAGCGGACTACATGCAGTGACTTAGACATACAAGGTGCGTACAAGACACAGCTCTATCAGCGCAGGCGTGTCATTTTCAAAATGTTCCTCTCGGCGCTCCGGGTTATGTCTGAGTTGGCCTGCCGAGATCTCCATGCTCACGGTCTGCCTCTGTCTTTGTCTCTTTCGTTTTCCTCTCCTCTCCCTCTCTGTCCATCCCCCGCCTCCTCCCCTCCTTTTCGTCCTTTCAAAACTGAACAGGCACGTCTATCGCTGTCACCGCGGTGTCCGGCCGCTGGAAATCCGGGCGGAATGCAAGCCGAATCCTTATCCTGCCGCGCGAGAGGCCGGGAAGCCCAGCAGCCAAGCATTAGGAAGAGGAGGACAGCACATGAGGCGACCATGTGTGTTGACACGTATGCTTCCTCTGAGGAATCTCCTGTAATGGGATCCATAAGCTAGATGGATTTGGCCTGAAAAGACTTAAGGTTGGCTTTTAAAAAGTCATTACGGGTCAGGACATCGTTTAGCACCATCGTAAAGCACCAGCCAAAAAAGCAAGTGCAAAAAAAGATTGTGCCAGACGTTACTGCCCAGTATATTTGGTCTAAAGGACACAGACTGAGTCTGGGCAAAGTGCCCTTCTCATTTTTTTAATAAGCACCACTGAGTCACTTCGCATACTGTTGAAGAGGCACTGCAGTTTGTGGTGGCCCACTTTTTAGTGCTGATCTGTAACATGCATCTACTGTGCCAGGAGCATTAATAGTCCTCATTGTTGATTCAGTATCCTAGTAAAGGAGGAGCCTGACACAGGCCTAACGGTGCACAGCTCTTTTAGCTCTTTTAAGCCATCTGCTGCAAACAAGCTGTATTCCCAGCTGCACTATAGAGGGTATCAGAGAGGCATTGAGGGTAGTGTGAGAGCATATGGATGAAAAGCGAAATAATAAAGTAACAGATAGGCTCAAAATGCTATTGACTCACAAAAGCGGCAAAATTAACTCCACGCGAGGCCAACGGTATGAACTCTGACCTCATAGGTAGGCGGTCACATTCAATCTCTCTCGGCCAGCTCAGCTTTATTGACTTTCACCTCTGACCCCGAGCAAAACCCACACAGGACCTTTGTCCCAGCCCCGATCAATGGCTTCAGACTGATATCCTCATGCGATGACCCCCGAGGAATATGAACAAATGACCACAGAGCACAAGGGCTACTGTCTGATTTAATGAATTAAACATGATGGGGTTGGGGGTGGGGGTCAGCATGGGACACAGTTCAATAGCTTCTTCACCTCTCCAGTCCTGCATTCCACATCCAGCGTGTCCCGAAATCCCCATGGGTGAAGGATCACATCCTAGATGGCTCCTGGATTTTATTCCCCGAGCCAAACCAGGGGTCTCGAAAACAGCCGAGTTAAATATGGAACACATTACGGCACACGGCGAAAGGATCCATCACATTGCACCCGGCAGGTTTCTCACACGCACGCAGGCTTCACGGCCAGCTTGCACAAAGGCACGAGACGACACCCGTCTGCCCCCGAATGCAGACGTCATTTTATAACCCAAAAATGAAAATGTCTGAGCCTGCAGAGAATTTGCGATTTTCGGTTTTGGTTACTGGGCCGTACTGATGCATCATATCTGATTTAAAAAAAACGCCCCAGTTTGGTTTCACACGGTAGCTGTACCCTGGCTTTCCTCCCAGCTGGTGTTGTGCGGATAAGGGTTGTAATTTTGGGGAATTCTCCTCTTTTGATTTCCCAATATGACACTTTTACAAAGCAGAAGCAGTGTCTGACACAATAGGGAGTGTGGTACCGGGCTAAGACACTGCGCTGAATTACTCACAAGTAGCGTCTGTTTTGATACTCAGCAAGAGTAAACGAACTCAGCGATACTGCAGGCCCCCAAGGTGTCTCTGTTACGTAACAGCTGTTCCAGTAGCACAGAAGTTTTCTTTGATGGATTACCTTTCTATCTAGATGAAAGACGTCCGCCACACTCTTTTTGTTTTGTTCTTCCTGCTCTGCAGCCACTGGCCACAAGCGACCTGCTTGACGTCATATCTGGCACGAGGGGAAGTCGGTTTCCTTGGCAACCAGGGACCCTGATCATGGGAAAACTGCAGCGGCGGCTCATCTGAAGCGCCCGAGTCAGGGAGCGGGGATCCTGTCTCCCTCCCGGAGCGGAGCTGAACAAAGCCAGGCGCTGCCGAGTCAGGCAGAAGGATCCCCCGTCTGATCGGATACCTGGCGCTGAGCTGGCGTCTCTCACACACAGGGGCCCCGCGGTGCTTCAGGTGTGCAGGGCGGGGCGTCTCTCACCCCTGGGGAGGGGGGGGGGGGCTCAACTACTGCGCAGCTCTGCGCTGGCGCTGCCTGAGCCGGGCTCCGGCTCTGAACGCTGCGTTCCGCCGCTGCCACCAACAGCCCCAGCAGCCCTGGGCTGAGCCTGCTCGTTCTCTGTCACAGAACGACCGCTGCCTCTCTGCCTCCAGACCCGCTGGGGTCCTTAATGTGCGCTCACTCTCCTTCTTCCTCTCCCCCCAGAAAAAGTAGGCAAACTCATTTCCATACAAATGGAGCGCGAGTCCAGAGACCCTATGGAATTTGCAAATGTTTCGGACTTTGCCTGGAAGCCTGCTGCTGTTATTCCTGTGCTCTACCTCCTCCTCCCTCCCCCTCTCCCCTGCCAGCATTCCTGGCTCTCCAAATAACCAGCAACTGCTGCACCAGCATAGTGGGCAATTGCTCTGCTAAACTGACAGCTTTGTTTCACCTGGGGGCGGTATGGTGGTGGTGGGGGGGTGGTCACTGGGGTCCTGGGTTTAAGCCCTTCTGTGTTGAATCTTCTAGGTGCTCTGGTTTGCTCCCACAAGCCCAGGACGTGCTGGCCCCGGATTGATCTAACCTGTCCCACTCTGGGTGTGAGCGCACCCTGCAGCTAAGTGCTGACTTGTGGCCCAGGCTTGTGTGATAGGCTCCAGGCTGCCAGAAATGTCTGATAACGCAGGGAGAGGTGCTTCACTGTGCAGGAAGCAGCACTGGGCTCCAGCTCAGTTATTTTTTTTTCTGCTAGTAACTGCACGAGTGGGTTAAGGGGAATATCCCAACCGCCACAATGACATTGGGGTACACGATCAGGACTGGCCTGGCACCCGCAGGTTTTAGGGATTTCAAATACTCTGTAATCAGACGATAGGTGGTTGGGAAACAGAGACAGAAGCGTAGCTCATCTCCAGTTGTCTTTGAGAGAGTACCTGTAGCTGCAGGAGCAGCAGTAGGTTATTCCAGCTCAATTCGTGTGTGATACCCAGGAGAGCACAAGAGCTGTTGCCCAGCCATGACAAACAGGCTGTAGGTCACAGCCTGCTGCAGGTAAATAGTGATGGTCCAACAGAAGCTAATCCTCCAGCCCTGTTCCCTGTCCCTGATGTCCTGGCGTTGTTACCAGAAGACCATCAGCTTAAGGGGGGCCGAAGCCAAAAGCACAAACAGGATTTTCTACAGACAGCCTGTGATAAGAAATGCATCGTGCATTAGTGGAGGAAAACCAGCTGACTGAGCAAGCTTTTTTTTTCCGACAAGAAAGTAGGAGCAGCATAAAAATTGAATGAACGGATAAATGATTCAGTCTTCTTTCTTTTAGGAGGAAGTGGGTACAGCCTGCTGGGGGATGTTCTGCCTAGGAATCTGTGTTCTCTGTGTCGTCTTGCGTGTGTCAGGGAGAGGGGCAGGGAGGGAGGATGTCTGTGTGTGCGTGTGGACTTTGCTCCTTTGCGTGACTGGCTTACTCAGTCCCTCTCGTGAGAGGGCACAGCTAGTGCTGGTACAGTCACACTCCTTGGGGAGCCCTGAGAAAGTGGAGGAGAAAGGTGTCGTTCTCGTGCAGGGGTGTGTAGGAGTCACTGACTTCAGGCCTCAGACTTTAGGATGTACACTACCAGGCCTGACCTCGGCCCAGCAGCCTGAGGTGTTGCCAGTAGCTTAGTGCCAGTGTGGTTTAAATAAAGGCTCTGGGGCCTATAAATAACAACCGCTCCTCCATGCATTGTGAAAATCTCAGCTTGGCCTGCCCACAGAAAAATGCACTGTGATGTCTCTTCAGAAACAGAAATCCCACGATCCGATCCCTGTGTGGTTTTTCGCTGTGCTAGACTGGCCATGCCAGGAAATTTCAGCAGTCCCTCCTCCTACGTGGGGCACAGCGCCACGCTGTGAAAGAGCCCCTTGTGCCCTCTGCTTTGTCTCTCTGTTGCTCTGTTCGCGCCCGGCTTGATGTTCCCACTCCTGCCCGAACCCGGTGGTCACATGAAACGAGTAGCCCAGCCACAATCGTTTTTTTCTGAATGAAGGGAACCAAGCTGCTGCCAGTGAAGCCCACTCGAGTGACGTGTTTGGCCATTCGGATATTCTGGAGGTCGATGCTAATCCGGTGTGAAATGTATTACTCCAGTCAGATACAGCAGCAGCAGACATTGTTAGTGTGGGGTATGACTTGGCAGTGCTCTCCTGGTGGTTATTTAAAGTTCGTGTCAGTTTTTTTATGAGTCCCTTTCAGCGGAGATGGAGGAGTTTTTGAAGGAATCGTCCTTGTGCACGAGAGAGACCACATTGTAAGAGAAGGAAAGGGTGCTTTTCCGAATAAAAGCTGCCTTTTGCACCCAGCAGCCATCTCACCCTGCAACTCACAACTGGCAGCCCCACTGAAGCCCAGCAGGTGTGAGCCTGGTCAGTACCTGGATGGGAGACTCCTGGGAAAAACTAGGTTGCTGCCGGAAGAGGTGTTAGTGGGGCCAGCAGGGGGCGCTCACCCTGCAGTCTGTGTGGGTCCTAATGCCCCAGTATAGTGACGGGGACACTGTACTGTAAACAGGCGC